CTAGTGGAGGTAGAACCGGTTAGTTCATATTTGTCATGATTCCTTGTTTATTTTTCTGTACTGCTTAAATTAGTTACTATTATATTGTGCGCATTAAATTGATAGTTTTGATGGTTTTCTCAATTATTTAGTTTATTTGGTTCCTCTTGTATTGCTTATTTAGTTATCTGGTTACTTGGTTATTCGATTATGTTAAACTATATCGCTCGCTTAGATACCGTTTAAATTAATCTATGAATATGTAATGAGATGTTGGTATGTGTTTGATGGTTGTTTGAACAATGAGATTCTATATAAATGAAAGCCTACTGGGTATTTTGGGAAATGATGGACGGACCCGGTACATACAGAACCCTTATGTGTACATTATCTTAGTCGGACGGGGCTAAGAAGTCCCATACTAAAAGGATTTTCGGATATATGGCTCACCCTCATATCAGACAGAGTATCGAGGCGATCGTGTTTTTGGTGCCGATTATCAGACGGGTATAGGAACGGCCGAGTTAATTATCAAATATTGATACTGGGTCTACGAGTAGAAGGATATCCTTATGGACCCCCAAAAGTCCCAGTAAGTAGGTTAAAATGAATAATTACTGATCTTATGCACAAAAATAAAATATCACTTGGTTATTTGTCTTCATAGGTTATTTTCGGAAAAACTTCTAACTGTATTTATGGAGTAAAATGTTTTAGAATTAAATGTATTTATTTAAATCAAGGGTTTCATTAGTTGTTTTGTGATTTTTACCAACCTTCAGTTTTCCATTTTAGTGATTAGTGTGATATTCTTATTAGGTTAGTGTAGTTTATCATTTTATTAACCATTTTATATCAAGAAGACTAAGATATAGATCTCAATTAGTAAGATGGTTGTGAGTAATTCATCTCCCGGACTCTCTTCAAACACTAGTGAAGGTTAACTCCTATGATATATATTTATTTGTTTTTAATTACCATTTGTCTTTTTTATGAACCAATGTAGAAGTGACATTTTATATAGCTCTATTGGACATTCCGATTTACTGTGTAAGAAAAGTAAATTCTAACATTATTATTTGCTTCAGCATTTAAAATATAAATTTATTTTCTTTGAGTTTCGGACCTTTACATATAGTATTAAGACTGATTGATCCATTGTATTAAAATATATGTATCGATTTTGATGAAATTATATAATTAATCTATACTAACATTGTTTAAAGTTAATTTTTGAAAAATACTTGTAATAAACATAAAAAAAATAAAGCGTTTATAAAGGTATCTTACCCATAAAAGTCAATTTGGTACAAGAAAAAATTGAATACGTGCAATATGTGGTGAACATGAAGAGATAATGAATCATTTCTTCAAAGAATGCATCTTTGGTATGGAAGTTTTGCCACTTATAAGTACTGAGTAATTTGTTTGTACCTCATTCTAAAGTTCATGCATCATTTATGATGACCTTGTAAGGGATATACTTGATTTAAAATTAATGAACCAATTCAAACAAGTAAGTTGAATTGTTATTCTTAGTTATGATCTTACAGAAGACATTTAAATGATATAGAAAAGAGTAAAAACTTTCAAGATGGGGACCATGCTTATGTGGATGCAAGAAATAGAAACATGTTATACATAAAAATGGGTCTTACCACAAGAAGGTACGCACAAATTAATTTTGATATGTTGATTCATAACTAGGGATGGATAGGCTTGGGGATGATATATCGGGATTGGCATGATAGATTGGCCTTTACAGGTATGAGACGTATACCCACCCTTTAATCTATTTGATATAACTAATACTTTAATATTGAGATATGAGTTTGAGACTGTAATTACAAAAGGACTATAAGATACCGTTAAAATGTGAATGTTTAATCTTATTTAAAAAGCCAAGCTTGTGGGCTACTAGAATGCAATTTATTAGTTAAAAGATATACGAGAGTTATCACAATATTTTTGTTCTTTTTCAATTATTTAAATATATATATATATATATATATATATATTATAATAAAGTAGTGCATAATCTAGTAAATGAAACATTGTTGATTCATAATAGAAATCTAATTGCTAATGAACCACATAATTTCTTGGCTCCCATGTTTGAGTAGGGAGATGTGTATTTATCCTGATCTATATGTTTTCTTAATTTTTTTTATAAAATAAATTAATATTTATGACCTAAAGATGTCAGTGACTATAATTTACTCTCGGTTACAACTATTAACTTAAATTTTTAACAACTCAAATATATTTATAAAATGTTAACTTTTCATAAACGCTTCTGAAGTAATAACTTTTTACCATCAATAAGCAGTAATTTTTTATGTCTTCAACTACTTAAATAATTAACTTCGAATTTTACTATGTTTAATTTGGGTATTTATATATATTTTTAACACATTATTTATTTTCACAAATTGCTATAGAGTGTTTACGGCTTATTATTATAGTATAAAAGGTGTAACATGTTTTATGTTTAATAATTTCTTGACTTTCTAAGAGATTTTTTTTTTTTTATTGTATTAGATTAATTAATTATTAACTATTTATGTAATTATTTTTTTAAAACAGAAATAAAATATGAGTTGAATTCCAGTGGATAATCTTGTTAATCAAAATGTTATAAATTATAGTTTATAAGAAAAAATATTAATAACTTTAGTGTTAGTTGCCAATATTGAAGTCATTAAAAATAAAAACTAAAAAATAAATGTATATATATTTATTTAAAATTATTTTAAATGCTGCTCTTAAAATATTAGTTATATATTTAAATAAAACTTATTATAAGATATGTAATCATGTATAGATATATGTTTCAAATAATTTTAAATTTAAATTTGAATTCTATTCAACAAATAAATAAGTAAAAGTTAAAAAATTTAAATGGCCAAATAACAGATGAAATTGGATGGCGCGGCGACACAATCTGTTAATTAAACAGGCCAACTACTTTTTTCAAAGTCAACTTCAATCAGCGACAAAAAACTCTCCACGTGGCAATTTAGGCAATCAGTACTTACCTCAACATGCCGAGAAACCCCGAGATCATGACGTCACCATACGAAAATACAAAATTCCGCTTTAAAATATTTTCCCTCAACCAAATTCGTGCCACGTGGCAGCATTTGTCTTATATTTCCACGATCAATAAATATAATAATTATATATTATTGAATGAAATAATAAATCAAATCATGCATATCTAATAATTAATTAAATAATATAAATTTTTATTTAGAAAATAAATGATTTCAAACTTATCCCATTAAAAAATTTAAATTGTTTATGAAAAGATTTATTATGATTTGATAAATTTTCTGCTTTTCTTAATCTAGAAGAAGAAAAAATATATTATATAAAATGGAATCCGATTCCTTATCCAGAAAAATTAATTAACGGAAATCTTGTATTGTTTTTTTTTGAAAATTGGAAAATTTTATTATAATATTTATGATACTTAAAAAGGATTTGGATTTATTATTATTTTTTGTTATTTTTAGGTTGTCAAAATCGAAATCTTAATCCAAGAAATTTTGATAATTATGAAGTTAATAATCTCGTATTATCCTAATTAAAAGCAAATGATGTTTGGATAAATGTGTCGACGTTTCCAAGAAAATTTTACCAACGATTTTGGTTTCTTCTGCATTCTCATCGTATAAAACTCCGTTCTTTCTCCCTTATTCAATACAGCCTCTCTTTCCTCCATAATCATCGAAGTTTCAGAAAAATGTCAAAAGAAGAAGAGGCGTACGTAGGATCCATTGACCAAGGCACCACCAGTACCAGATTCATCATCTATGACCGCCATGCCCGTCCTATTGGATCTCACCAGGTCGAGTTCACTCAGTTCTATCCCGAAGCCGGGTACTCTTCATCTCTGAACGAATCTAAGTTACTTACTTCGAATTATTACACGGAACGATCGATTTACTTGATTTTTCCCTCGATTCAAATTGATCTATGTATGTACAAATGAGAAGCGGAATACATGCTTATGGTTTCGTCTTTTGTTTTTATGTAGATGGGTGGAACATGATCCGATGGAGATATTGGAGAGCGTGAGGGTGTGTATGGCAAAGGCTCTGGACAAGGCAACAGCTGATGGCCACAACGTGGATGGTGCATTGAAGGCGATTGGATTGACCAATCAGAGGGAGACAACTCTTCTTTGGAGCAAATCAACTGGGGTTCCTCTTTACAAAGCTATTGTTTGGATGGATGCTCGTACCAGTTCTATTTGCAGGTAAACTATTCCTTTCTCTTCAGAACTACATGTTGTTCTTTCTGTTTCCAGTTTCGATCAGTTGTAAGTCAGCTTTCGAGTTTCTATTTTCGATTTCTGTGAGTTGGGTATTCCTGCTTTTTCTTTCCTTTTTTCTTTTTTAAGTATATGGTCGAATTATTATTACTTTCTCAAATTTAGCGTTATTGGCTTTGCTGCGGTTTTTGTTTTCTTTATAAATTTTCTCCAACTTTTCTTGTTATTTGTTGCTTTGGTTCTGATTTGGGTCGGATTCTTTTTATAACTTTAATTTGATGCAGATGATTTCCAAAAATATGGCTTTCACTTCTTCCTTAATTTGGGGATTTGATTTGATATCCTTTTTGGATTTTTATCAGAATGGAAAGGGTTTTTTAAGCTGGAATTTGTCAATTTCGGTGGCATTTGGCTTTATTATGCATTTGTAGCCTAGGAAACTATTGCTAATGAGTGGCAATTTCCATTTTAGGAAACTGGAGAAAGAATTACCTGGAGGGAGAACCCATTTCGTAGAGACCTGTGGTTTGCCAATTAGCACTTATTTTAGTGCAGTGAAGCTTCTATGGCTGATGGAAAATGTGGATGATGTCAAAGAAGCTATCAAGAAGGGAGATGCTCTGTTTGGAACTGTAGACACATGGTTGATCTGGAATTTAACTGGCGGTATAAACAATGGATTGCATGTTACGGATGTTTCTAATGCATCAAGGACGATGCTTATGAATCTTAAAACTCTAGACTGGGACAAAACTACGTTAAACACCTTAGGGATATCGGTGGAAATCTTGCCTAAAATTGTTAGCAATTCAGAAGTAATTGGAAAAATAAGTAAAGGTTGGCCAATTACTGATGTACCCATTTCAGGATGCCTTGGTGACCAACATGCTGCAATGTTGGGTCAATCTTGCAGAAAAGGTGAGGCGAAAAGCACATATGGAACTGGTGCCTTCATCCTTCTAAACATAGGTGAAGAGATAATTCTGTCAAAGCATGGACTCCTCAGTACATTAGCCTTTAAGCTTGGTCCAAAAGCACCAACAAACTATGCTCTCGAGGGATCCATTGCTATTGCCGGAGCTGCAGTTCAGTGGTTGAGGGATAGTCTTGGGATAATAAGTAGTGCAAGTGACATTGAGGAATTAGCATCCCAGGTTGAGAACACAGGTGGGGTATATTTTGTACCTGCTTTTAATGGATTATTTGCTCCCTGGTGGCGTGATGATGCTCGTGGAGTTTGTATTGGAATCACAAGATTTACGAACAAAGCTCATATTGCTCGAGCTGTGCTTGAGAGCATGTGTTTTCAAGTGAAGGATGTCTTGGACTCCATGCACAAAGATGCTGGGGAGAAGGGGGAGGTTAAAAATGCTCAAGGGGAATTTTTGTTAAGAGTGGATGGTGGTGCTACTGTTAACAACCTCTTAATGCAGACTCAGGTTTGGCCTTCTAGGACTGTTCAAATTCTGCAATTCAACCATTTAACTTTCTTTTATAGTTATTCTTATTGCCTTTTGAAGTTCTTATTGTCTGGCTGTTCTATTATTCTTTATACTTAAGCAGTATATGCTTGTTTTCTGATTGTTGTTTTTTTTCTCTGGTTTTATCCTGCCAAAGCGTATGCTAGTTGAGTGATCTTGCATGGACAATGAAATGTTTCATCTGATGCTTCCTCATACTTCATCGAGGATTTCTCATTTTACAAAATTTTCAGGAGTATTTTGATTACATGTTTCTCTGATTTTGTGTTTTGAATAAGAATACTTAGACATTCTTTCTTCTGGTGCGTCTCTTGTTGCACATGAAGGGTTATGCTCTGCTACCTTTATTTTCTGATAATTATTATTTATAACAATATTTGAGAATGAAATTGAAATTTTGCAAAAAATCATCATGTTCTTGTAATTTACAAGTAGCACGGTCGGTTCCCTTATTCAGCATGTTTTTTAGTACCTGTAACCTTCCAGAAAGTTTAGAACTTCCTTATATTCACTGGTCCTTGACACGTGATGGTAATGTGAGTTCTAATCTTATCATGTGCGATGTCCTTCCGATATTACAATATTGTTCTGTAGTCTCTGAAACAATTTCCAATACTTTTTAGTATGAATTTGAGTTGTTATCTCTCAATTGCATCTTTGTCAACTGTGTGGATGGTCTGTAAAGGTATAGTTACCTGTTGATTTTTCTTCTTAGATAGTTTTTTTTTTCTCTTCTGTCTTCATGACACTGTTAATTTCTTGCCCGAGTTCAGGTGGCAGTGCTATGTGATTCCATACACACACATATATATTCAAAGATTCGTCATCTTGTAAATGGGTTTTAAGTGGCAATCATTTTGTTGTAATCTCCTAAAAATATCTGCTAGTCGTTGTGCATTAGTTTTGTGAATATTTCTTCTGAACCTCTAGATTGCACCAACAATTGTCCTAGTATTCTAATTTACAGTGGGATTTTGTTGCTTGTTTCTCTAGTAGAAACCAATCTAAACATTACATTCCCCTCGATAGGTAGAATCTCTAATTATGCAGGACATGTTTTATAACTGTGAAATCTAGGCTGATATATTGGGAAGCCCAGTTGTGAGACCGGCTGACACTGAGACAACAGCTCTCGGAGCTGCATATGCTGCTGGTTTAGCCGTCGGAATATGGACAGAGAAGGAGATATTTAACTCGGAGGAAAAATCTAAGACATCTACTTCATTCCATCCTGTACTAGAGGAGGAACTGAGGAAGAAGAAGGTGGAGTCTTGGTGCAAGGCTGTTGAAAGAACTTTTGGCTTGGCTGACCTTTCTCTTTGAACAAATGTAATCACGTTCCTGCTTCTTTCTGTAATTTTTTCTTGGCTGTCCAAATACCCTTTATTTATTGAAATGAATAATGATTAGTAATTGTAAATTTTTGACTTTGCAACCATGATGATTAAAATTTTGAGAACTTAAATTTCTTAATCTACCAACTCATTTGTCTGGATCCAAGGAATTGTCTCTGTTGTTTAATTGTATTTCATTCACTTGCTCATGTCAAGGGTAGATTTGTTTCTTGATGAATTTACCCATCATTACTATCTTCGAATTGCTTCCTCTCCCTTGTCCCACACACGCGCTCGCGCGCACATAAATAGTGTGTCGGAGTAATCTATTCATAAATTACGGACAATTATAAATATAATATTTAATATGATTTGATAATATATTTATATTTACGAATAAGATTGAACTCTAAAATAAAAAAATTATAAAATTTTTTTTTTATAATTTTTTTCAAAATATATATTAAATATTTTATAAAAAAATATAAAATCTTTAAAATATTTTTAAAATTTAAATGTCATTTTATTTTAATAAAAAATTTTAATTATATTTATTACTAAAGAGTACGTGCCCAAAACTTAATGAAACATAAATTTAATTCTGACCAAGCTAGTAATTATGACCAATCTAATCATTAATGCACATTAATATTATTATATTAATTTTATTTTTATATTTAAAAATTATTTAATTTATATATATTAAAAATTTTAAATAAAAAATTATTATATATATTCATATTAAATATAAAGTAAATTTAAAAATGTTAATGTACCTCAGTTTTTTTATTTTTACTACCTAGTTAATAATAAATTACGGTTTTAAGGAAAATAAAGTCAAATTAAAATAGAGAAAAACAACAATAACTTGACGTCAGAATAATAAAATTGAATTAAAAATAATTAGAGAGATTAAAGAGAGTTTTAAGAAAACGAGAAGTTGGAAATACGTCAATAGGGTTTAAATTCCGGATGAAACATGAAATTCGATCTTCCCAAGTCTCACGCACAGACAAAGCCACAGCCTCGCTTTTTGAATTTGTCGATGATGGCAATGTAATCATCTGCCTTTATATGCGTCTTCCCTGTACGACCTTCCGTCTTCACTTCTCTAATCCAATTCTCAGTTCCAGTTCCAGTTCCAGGTTTCTTTCTACTCGGACGTAATCTCTTTAGTGTCTGCTTGAGTGCTAATTCTTTACCATGGCAAACTCGAGATCCTATACGATTTTTTGTTTTGGTTATTTCTTCAATTTTCCATAATTTCTCAGGAATCCTGATTGGGAATAAGTGAATTTCTTCCAATTAATCTGATTGCTGGATGTTTCCGTTATTTTGGCCTATTCGTTGATGATTTTTAATTTCGTTGCTTGTTTAGAATTTCTAGACCTTATAGTGAAAGGAAAATGGGGAGTGCTTCATCAGTGCTTACTCAATATGATATTGAAGAGGTTCAACGACACTGCGATAATCTATGTAGGTTTTCTCGCCTTTATCTTTTCCCTTGATGTGCTTTTGGTGTATTTTTGTGTTCTTGTGTATCTCTCAATTTCATGTGCCTTGGCTCTTAAAAATATAATAATTTAAAAAAATTGATGTGGCCCGGCAATGAAATTCAGTTTCCCAGCAAGAAATTGTGTCATTATATCAAAGATTTTGCCAACTAGATCGAAATGCCAAGGGATTTATATCTGCTGATGAGTTCTTATCTGTGCCGGAGTTTGCTATGAATCCGCTCTCTCAGGTATTTTTGTTTGACATTTAATACATGAAGTTCATACTCCATTCCATGTATAGCTTGTTGGGCTTTTACCCGGTCAAGCACCGGCAGGTTGACAAATGACAACTAAAACTGCTCTAATATTTCAGAGGCTGCTTAAAATGGTTGATGGTTTGAACTTTAAAGACTTTTTATCTTTCTTGTCTGCATTTAGTTCTAAAGCAAGCATGCAGCAGAAAATTGGACGTGAGTAACTACATTTGCTCTATCCTCTTTTTATGGTTGTTGGTGTTACTAGATTCATTCTGTGGTTTTCCATGGAAGTGAAATCTGGTAGTAAAGAAGAAAATGCCCTAACCTAATGTTTCTTTTGATTTGCCTCAGTTATTTTTAAAGTGTATGACACTGACTGTAATGGGAAGGTTTCCTTTGACGACATAATGGAAGTGCTGCGTGATTTGTCAGGTTCTTTCATGTCTGATAAGCAAAGAGAGGTATTCTCTAGAGTCAATACCTTTTTCCAGTTTGCATTTAATCCTACCACTTAAAAAAAATTAACATTCTACACCACTTAATCATTGATGAAATTATTTATGTAGTTGAATCACCTATGTACTTTGTCTGAATGGGCTTTTTAAAGAAGGATATGTTTCGAAAGTCCGCTTAAATCTTTAGTTAATGCTCCAAAAATTGTGAAATTCCATTACTGCTAGAAAGCTTGTGAAGTTTGGATACAAAATATGGAGAAGTGTCTAAGCTTCTAGAATTGTATTTTTCTAGGCTATTTAGTTGTGACCTTCTTTGGTTACTAAAGGAGTCAAGCCCCTTTCGATCTGAGCTTGTGATTTTGAAAAACATGGGAGAACTTGCTTACTTCTGGAAAGTTAGTGATTAGTTGAACTAATTGTTGCTTTTTGCACTAGAGATTCGAATATATTTGTTTAGGTATGGACATTGTGTTTAGTCCAAATTTCAATTATATGGAATAGAAATAGGAAGAAAATACAAATGAAATAGAAATTTGGATGAAAATAACATGGTATTCCATGTCCTATTCAAGTTACAAGTGGGAATAAAAATTATCACTGTGGAATTGAAGATATGTTGGAGTTGATTTTATTATATACCAAATATGTAAATTTTGACGAACTTCTAGATATCAAACAGCTTATATGTAAAATAAATAGGAATAAAACAGGGTTGAACTAAAAGCAACATAACATTGTTGACATGTGCGTTGTCTTGTCAAAAATGTCCAAGATGGTAACTTAAATTGTTTCAAATAAACTTTCCTGCTTTGCATTCTGAACAGATCTCAGTAAAAAGGGATCAACAGTAATAATCAAAATGAAGGAATGGCAGTGAGGATGCTCTATTTAGAATATGTACCCTTGAATTATCAATTTTTTGCGATATTTGGTGTATGCACTGAATATTTGAAAGACATTTTTAACTACTAAGTGGAATATTCTTAACTATTTATTCTTCAATATTTGGCATACAAAAAATTAAGTTGGTGTACAGGGAACCTCAATTTATGTGCAAAAGCATTTGACTTTCAAATGTCTGTATTCAATCGGTGACTAGTATCTTCTGGGTAGTTTTTAGTTCCTTCGTGCTTTGAAAAATCTCTTAGTATGTTATTCCTGATTTTTATTCTCATTCTAAAACTATGTCAAATTGTGACTGATAAAAATCAGAAAGTCTCTTATTACATTTCAATATTGCCATTTTAGATGTCTGCTCAGAACCAATAAACAACTGTCTGATAAGATTATTTTTAGGTTCAATTTGATTAAATGTTCTGCATTCCCTTCAGTTAAGGTAGAATTATAATGTTTATTCTTTCTTCCCCTTCCTTTTGTTTATTTTTAATCTCATATCATTCACTATAAATTTTGACTGCTGAATAGCATCAGTTCTTGGTGGCACTTGCACTTTGAAGAAAAATAAATTTTCCATATGACCTTACAACTTATGTTCTTCAAATTGCAGGAAGTCTTGAGCCAAGTTCTGAGAGAAGCAGGTTACACGAGAGATTCTTACTTAATGCTGGATAACTTCATTAAGGTGCTTTTTACTTTATAGTTTTTTTTTAATAGGTGTTTGGTTTGTTGATATTGTATAGAAATAATTAGTTTTGCAAATGAAAAAGGGCAAATATTGGCATTTAAAGAGAGGACTAGGAATGCTTCCTGAAGTGCTACCCAGCCTGTGAAAACCAGAGTGTAAAAGGTGGCAAACTCTTCCTTAATTAGGTTATGATGATCCAAGGTTGAGATAAAATAAGAAGATTTCTCCTAGTCTGCGCATTAGTTATTTTCCCTGTTGTTAAGTTCAAGGAATTCAAAATGGCTTTGCCTAGCTTGATAGATGTTTTTTCTTTTCATTTGGGTTAACACAGTTTCCTATTTGAATATGAACCAGGTTTTTGGCAATTCTGACCTAAAAATGGACGTTGAAGTTCCAGTTGACTAATCTGTTGTCTTAATTTGATGTGAGTTTGTGGTGATGGCGTGAAGATTCGGGGAAGTGCACCTATTATGGAATTGTTCATCTCCTGTTAGAAATACACACTTGTATAATTCCTCTATCCTATTGGCTGTGAATGATGAAGGACGAGCAATCTGTACATGCGAATAAGCATAAGTGCCTGTAAATGATTTCACTTGCTCTGTTGAATGTGGCTTTGCTGTTAATAACTTAATTCCTTTGTACTCAGATTCACAGATGTTGCATCTGTTTGATTTATGCAATTTTTGTCACGAGCAATTTCAGACAGAAGAATTCTGCATTTGCTGGGAGTTATCGGGGTATGATGTTGAGAGTACAGAGCATCAATCTTCTTTGTTGTCAAAGATCTATTTTGTTAAATGTTTTCTATTAGATGACTCTTTTTTTTAGAAAAAATTTTTGCGGGCTCGAATGAGTTATAAGTTCTGTGTGTATTTTATTAGATATAAGAATTTTTATCAAAAAGTTATATTAAAAAAAATCCCAATGTGCTTATTCAAAATTTGAACTTGGTTAAGGCTTCAGTTTGATTTCACAGACAAAAAAAGAAATGGAATAACTAGTGATGAAAAGGAATGAAAATTAATGTTAGAAGTATGTTCTGTATCTATCATAACAATTAAAGTAATTAGTTTGCACCTGTCCAAAGAGAAGAAAAGAAAAAGAGGTGGAAAAAGAAAAGAATTTCTTTTGAAAAAGGATTATATCATTATACAGTATATTGCAAGTGAACAGAGAAGGGTGAAGGGTAAGCACTTTTGCATTTATATCAGTTGCAGTAAGTTTGAGGCTGCTACTGTCGTGCTTCCGAGGTATGATAAATTCTGTATTTTCAACTGTTAGGTTACTTTTAGTCGGGTAGCATGACGGATTACAAATCTGATAGAACTTTTTATATATATATAAAAAAAAAAGTACTATTGTTCGGATGTAGGATAGAATTTTTTGCAAGTTGAGACTTCTGAATGGAATATCTGAATTCTCTGCCTGAGTAATGCCGAAATCTGCCTCCTTAAGCATGTCAGCTTACTGATTTCAGTTTTCTTAAGCTTCCTCTTTAAGCAATCTCAGTAAGACAAGTTAAGAGTCGAAGAGGGTTTACCTGCAACTGCCTGGAAATTTCTCATTTCCAATAAAATCTCTGCCTTCAATAATTTCTCTTTTATCTTCACAGTCTGATGTATACACTCGATACTTTTTCTTCTTTGAAGACAAGCAAAGAAGAGAAATTTCTAAAAATGTTTTCTGTCCCAGAAACTGTGTCAAGAAAGCAACCATTTATTTTTAGACTATGATTAGCCATCATTCTATCTTTTGTTTCCTTCTTTTCCTGCAATACTTAAAAAGCTTCTCAGTGTCATGACTTCTCTTTGCAAAATCTCTGTGAACAGATCAAATGGGAGGCCAATTTCCAAACATACTTGCTGTTGAATCTTTTTACTCGAAAAAGATTGAAGAAATTCTACACACTAAGGAGATGGAAATTGCCTCACTTGAATTACAACTTTCAAAGTTGAAGAATTTCCAGCTTGCAGGTAGCCATAATAAGCATATAAGCCACGATGGGTCCAGATTACTGACTGAAATATCATATGATTTTACTCATGGGCACACGGAGAAGGAAGGAACGAGAAGAAGAGAAAGGAAAATGCATCAATCCGTGTTGAAAGGAAAGAAGCTGCTAACATATTCAAGTTCAGATGAGCTTGTGAAGAAACTGGCTGTGAATTGCTCAAGCAGTAAGGTGTTCAGTGATTCTCCTAAGGGTAAGAAAGCTTTGCAGCCTTGCGTAGCCAGACAATTAGATGAGCGATTGAAGATTCTTGAAGAAGAAAATGAAGTCATAAAGAAAGCGTTTTTTGAAACTGAAGAGGAAAGAAAAAAGCTGGTGAATGACATATATCAGCAGTTTCAGACAATATTCAAAGACGAGGGACGGAGGCTTGATGGTGCGTAATTTCTTTCATCATCAATAATTGTTTTTTACTGGCGTTTTCCTAATATGGAAGACTCTGTAAAAACAATTCATGTTCATTCTGAACCTGGTTTTGATTTCGTCTTATAAGCCAATTAGATTTGATCACATTAGCAAAATGCGCTGCTTGTGCTCAGAAAATTATCTTACATTCATCTACTTCTCTCTATTTCTCATTTAATTCTGCTAAAAGTACTTGCTAGTCATTTTGGGACATTTGATTTGGATTTTTATTTAGTTTATCAATCATAAAGTTTTGGGTTTGGTTAAAAAGTTGATAAGATCTAATATAAACACACAGCAAAATTTTATAATCTGTAACAAAATTGTTTCGATAAGAAATGAAAGGTAACATACTCTTTCATGGTTAGTCAGCCAAACAAAAGAACAATGTTGGGTTTAATTTACTTTTGCAAATGAACTTACAAACATATTTCATAAATCAAAATACAAAAAAAAAATATTTATATTTAGCTAGTTTGATGTGGAAGTAAGCTACATAGGGTATTCAGGAGGTATTTTGATTGATTTATATATTTTTAAAGAAAATCAGCTTAGTTAATAAGCTAAAAGACACCAAGGATACTATATGTATTTTCTCTGTTTTTCCTTGATATGGCAGGGGAGAGATTACCAGACAGTATAAATGATTTGATTCCTAATATCAAGCAAATAGGAAAGATTGAAAAGTTTTATACACTGATCATTTTGGTATCCATGGATATATTCCTATTCAACAAAATTGATAACAGAATCTTTAGAGAACTTTCTGCTCAAACATTAAGAGTTAAGAACAAGTTTTGTTGATCTTTCAATTTTACAAACCAGACAGAACTGCGTACCAAACAGCTTATCCAAACCAGTTACATGAGAAGTTACATCAAATTTCACCTCTATAGGCTCCAGATCCGATTATAAGTTACATTAAATTTCACCTCTATAGCCTCCAGATCCAAAATAATCTCGTCTAGAACTTGCAATTGCCATACTCTTTTGATGTTCCAGTTTAGGACAATCACGGATACGATGTCCAAGCCCACCGCAATAAGCACAACCTTTCACTCCACTTGCATTGGTGATTGCATCCACATCTTCCATTGGATCATTAAGCTCTGCCAATACAGGGGGAATCCTTTGTTTTGCCTCTTGCAACAAGTGTTTTAAGTCGAGTAGCGTTGTCTCACTTTGGTTCTTGTTTATAAATGTGGTGGCTATTCCTGTCTTACCACATCTACCAGTTCTTCCAATTCTGTGGACATAATTCTCAATTTCTGCGGGCATATCATAATTGATAACATGTTGAATATCTGGAAAATCCAATCCCTTTGAGGCAACATCAGTTGCAACCAAGACATCTTTCTTCCCAGCTTTAAAGGATGAAATTGCGTACTCTCTCTCTTCTTGATCCTTGCCTCCATGAATGGCCACAGCCTCAACTCCTTTCAAGAGTAGATATTCATGGATATCATCCACATCAGCCTTGTTCTCACAAAATATCAAAACAGGAGGTGGAGTTTTCTGAAGGCACTCAAGAAGGTATACTATCTTTGCCTCTTGCTTGACATACTCAACTTCTTGAATTACATCAAGATTTGCAGCCCCGGCTCTTCCCACATTAACTACTACTGGCTTCACCAAGGCACTTCTTGCAAAGTTCTGAATTTTTGTGGGCATAGTAGCAGAAAACAGAAGAGTTTGCCTCTGAGCTTTGAAGTGGTCAAATACTTCCCTTATGTCATCTTCAAAGCCCAGATCAACTAACCTATCCGCCTCATCCAATGTCAAGTACCTTGAAAAGAAACGGGTGATTGTGAAAATTATATGAATATGTAAAAGAGGCAAAACAAATATATAATGCTATGAAGTACACCAGTTCTGTAAAGGAAGGCGATTACATCTTTTTTCTTGTATCAAATTCCATTAATAATTATGTGTACAAGCCAGAAAATGTCCAACAAAAGAAGACAAAAAAGTAAAGAGACATGTCTAGCTGATGTAGTAGAAAAACAAAGGAGACAAAAGAAGAAGCTAATCAGTCATCATTACATGATTCTAAATACTTTAGAACCCCGTAATACCTTTAGGAGATATTTAATATTTCCTAAAGAACTAAATACACTTAATAACACAAACAATCATAACATAATTACATGAACATTTCTTAATATTGTTATCCATCAATTGAAGGTCTTCCTATTAATGCCTTATACACAGTTCCTGAGAATATAACATCGAAATCCAAACATAATCTTTTGAAGGAAAAAAATGTTAGTATACCAAGGGGTAGATCAAAAAGCAAGTATGTACGCAGCACCGAAGTTTGTCATCAAAGCTCTTGATCAATGATAGATATGAATTTCGTCATAGAACAAAAAGTAACAGTTTGTTGTCAGTTCTAAATGTCAAGAGAACAAATCTAGCAGAGTATGCTAAGTGGCTTAGCATAATAAAATAGTCAAACTTAGTTGTGCTCACCTGCAATTGTCCAAATTCATCTTCTTTTTTGCTAGCATATCCTTCAACCTTCCAGGAGTTGCCACAACAATATGCACACCTCTCTTTACAACTTCCAATTGTGATCGCATATCCACTCCCCCAATACAAAGCAAAGGCCTCAACTCAAGATATCCTTCCTTTCTCATTGAAGCCAAAAACTGCTCCACCACTTCATAGGTCTGCCTAGCAAGCTCCCTAGACGGGCAAACAATTAAACCAAAAGGACCTTCGCCTGGGACAATAGGCATCATCATCTCCTCCTGCAATGCTATCATGATTAATGGAAGAACAAACACCAATGTCTTGCCTGAACCTGTAAATGCAATCCCAATCATATCTCTGCCAGATAAAATAACAGGGAGGCCTTGCACTTGAATTGGAGTTGGCTGCACAATCCCTTTTTCCTTGAGCTTATCCAAAATAGATTTGGGAAACTTCATATCCTTAAAATTTTTTATTGGTGGAGGAATCTCATCACCCTCAACAATAATATGCCATTGCTTACGAATCAAATCACGCTCTTTCTTGGACATTCTTCGTATGTGCAATGGAGGCTTCCAACCTGTCAACAAAGGCTCTTTATATGTTATTCCTTTTGCTAATTCACGAACAGACATGAGAGTTTTCCTGTCAGATAAGTGCTCGATCATCTCTTTCTCTTGCTGTACGATCTGCTCGGTCGGGCTGATTTCAGGAATTTCACGCTTCAGCTGAGATGCCTTAACAAGCAAGCTGGGTTTGGCCTCTGCGAGTTTGGCTTTCTCAGATTCATCCTCTAACACACTAGACTTCCCTTTACGCTGGAGTATCTTCTGTGCTTCTATTGCTCGGCGCTTTGCAACAGGGACATACTCAACGTAGTCATCATCTTCTTCCATGGTTTAATTTACTGCACTTTAATCACTGTGACAACCCAATAAACTAGTAAATAACCAAAACAATTATTGATATACATGTAAAAGGTTTAAACCATCCTCAATAAAAGAGACAAAGTAATAAATCCAAGAAAGCTCAGCATAAAAGAATAAAAGCTTCTTTTGAACCCAAGACTTCAACAGGCTTCGACATATATACAAGTCACCACACACTAATTCAATACCAATGAGTAATAAATTTGAACAGTTTTAAGTGACCTTGGTGAGTCACAGTGCTCTCCAAAAAATGATGATATCAATTTTCGGAAATTGGAGGGCCAATGCTTATGCTTTTGGCAGCAGGACTAAATACCAAAAATTAGCACTAGTCATAAAATACAAAGATTTGGTAAAACAAATGGTACAGAGATGAGAAGATATAATTCACTTGTCCTGTTTCAAATTAATTACTAATTGAGATCTATTTTACATGCATTTATTAGTGTTTGGAAATGTGTGAATCTGACATTCACCGCTAATGGAAATAAAATTTAATGATTACAAATACATTGGGATAGGAAAATAAATACACAAAAAGTAATTATCTGAAAAGACAAATGATCTCACATTTTTTGCTCTTTGGTGCTAACTCTCACTTGCTCAAATCGTTACTCCCTTGAGATTCCATTCAATTAATGGCTCCAAATCAAAAGACATGTCATGCAACATAGTTCGCATAGAGTCATAAAAATGGTCAAGCAGTATGAGCTATATCAAAAAATTTCGGGGGCCATCCACATTACTGATGAATACTCAAACTAACAAATATTATCAATGAAATAATCCTATCTCAATGACGCCCAATCATAATCATGTTTATTTTAGTATTCTACTTATTTAGTTGCGCAAGTATCAAGGGGTCATTCTGCATATTGGTTCAAGTTAAGATTTCCCCCAAAAAAATCCAATCAATCATGAATTAAAATGTTCAAGATACATAAAAAAAAACAGGGAAACATAGGCTTTCAACACAAAAAGTCAAGCACAAATTACCAGCTTTACGATGGAACAGTTAATCATTAACCTGACTACATTTTGATCCACTTGCAGTCATGTTATACAAAAACATAAGACATCCAAATTCTTTTAAATCAAGTAAACAATACACCTGTTTCACCATCTAAATCCTACAGGAAAAGGAAAAGAAACTGCAGCTTAATTCTTAGATGAGTCATTGCCCAATTACGTACGAACTTCGAGCTCAAGCATGACTCCTTTCTATCCTATCTTTATCCTTGCAGCCAGACTTGATTCAATCCTGCATTTCTACCGGCCCTAGAACTAGAACAGACCAAATCCTTCCCACAGTCGGCAGAAAGCATTGTCATGCAATAGTAAGAGAATAGTTATACCAAACCTAGCTTGGAAGAAATAGACAGGCCAAACTGATGCTCACTTCAAGTTAATCTGCCTGTTATTTTTTTTATCTCCCAAGACAAATTTGCACTTCTAATACGTGGGTAGGGAAAAGATATTGGAAATTTAATCAAGGGAAAGAAAAAGACATATTCCATCATCTAAATCTTGTCGAGAAAAGAAAGCTATCACTTGAACGGCTGATGTCACAACAAAAGGCGAAGCGAGAGGACTGCGCAAAAATATTTAAAATTTTAAACTTTATGGAGTCACCATTGAGTGATCCTACTGAAGGCGAGATCAAAAGCCAAATAGTACCTTAGTTCAATTCACAGATTAAGGTCCAAAATACTATAAGGTAGGAAAGGGTGAAACATCTATCCTGCAATGTAGACTAATTTCTCCAATGTGTTTTGCATGTATTTTATTTATTTCTAAACTAAAAGGTAGGCATGCGGCAATGACATTTATCTAGGAAAACTTTCACTAATTATAATAGAAAGCGAAAGAAAATAAATAAATAAGAAAGTAAACAAAGCAGAATATAAGTGAAAATTCCACATCATTCTCTGCTTAGTCAAGTCTTCCACCTTCATGTTTGGAGAATTTTCATGATTTATAATCGAAGGCCAACGGGCTAAGGAAATTATCCATTTACTGGCGATTCATAAGCAGTGGCTTGGTTAAGGAGACCCACCGGAGCCGTAGCAAAAGCGAGTCTTCATACGGCAATTGTCACTGCTTATGGACCCGAACTTGGGTGATCTATCCATGACCAGGATGAAACTTGGGTGAAACTAAGTGGAGATCCAAATTGACTAAGGTTGAAGAATCAACGGATGAGTTGTGGCTGGAGGTGAAATGCCACTTGAACCCAGAGCTAGCTAGTTCTCCCTAAAATGCGTTGAGGTGCAACAGTTGATTGGATATTTAGGGGTAAAATACTGTTTCGGTGCAGGCCGCAAGAGCAATACCAAATCGAGGCAAACTCTGAATACTAGATATGACCTCAAAATAACAGGGGTCAAGGTCGGCCAGTGAGACGATGAGGGATAAGCTTCATCGTTGAGAGAAAAACAACCCGGATCACCAAATAAGGCTCCTAAATGACTGCTCGGTGATAAAAGAAATAGGGGTGCAAAGACAACCAGTAGGTTTGCCTAGAAGCAGCCACCCTTGAAAGAGCGTGTAACAGTTCACTGATCTAGCGCTCTTGCGCCGAAGATGAACGGAACTAAGCGATCTACTGAAGCTGTGGGATGTAAAAATGCATCGTTAGGGGAGCGTTCCGCCTTAGGGGGAAGCAACCGCGTGAGCATTTTCTTTTTCTAATTTTTTGTGAATTTCATTTTTACGTTATCATATTTTCTCATTTTTTGTATATTATTATGCAAAAACATACAAGAAGCCAGGCATAAAGATTAAACATATAGGAAAAAAAATGCCATTTCAAACAATAAATAACAAAAAAGACTTCAAAATAATCACATTTTCACCAACTCTGCAAACAAAAATATGATGTATAGGCATTAAGGAATAAACAAGCAGATAGTAGTCTATGGAACTACGCTGCAAATGCTACAAAGCAAGCCTATATAGAAAGGAAAACCAGAGGCATTTATGAGAGAAATAACGTAGTTTTTCTTTGACCTCAACAGCAAGTGTTAAACAGCATGGATAAATCTAATATTTTGCCATTTTATTTGCTTTATTATATAGCAAACACGAACAACATGAGCAATATGGACACAGTACTAAAATGCAAATGAGAAAAAGCCTACATTGGGGTAGCTTAGAACTTAAACTTCAGACATTAGACAGAAATCAAACGTGATAAACATTCAAATCTGAATCATATATTTGCCAGCATAGCATATTCATTTTATACTCAGATTCGAAGTGTTGAATTGCATACATAGTCAGCTAATTTCCAGATACTCAGTATGCGGCTACTCTGGAAAGAAAGGAAGAGCTCGACTAAAATCCGCTGAAATTACCCAAAAAAGAAAAAAAGAAAAGAGAAGGGACTCGGGTTGTACCTGAGCCTCGTCTAACTTCTCCTCCAACCTCTATTTCTACCCGAAACACCACTTCCAAGTCGTCTTCTTGCTCCTGAAATCCCTAAGCCCCAAGTCTCTCCTTATTCTCCCTGATCGTTCCTACCGTTTTCTGCTCTCTTTTGGATTTTTTGTTTCCTTAACCTCGGAAGCTCTCTCAACTCCCCAAAAAATCCCCTAACCTCTGTCTTGGGCCTCGCCTTTTATGGCCGAAAAAGCTCCCACCACGTGCCCCGAATCAACTCTTCTCTCCTCTCAAGCCAAGAGTAGGTCTCATCTCCATCAGCTCTTCGAAGTTCCGATTACCTCTTTCTTTCAAGTTTAGCTTTTTCCTCCTTGGTGTCGTGCTTCTATCTCTTTGGCTTCCCTTTCTCTGCCTCCGCGTCTCTCTGCCCGAAGATCTACTCCTCCGCAGCTTTTCCTATCTCGTTACTTCTGTGCTTCTGTTCCTTTTTTTTTTTTTTTTTGTTCTCTAAAAAAAGGAGAGAAGATAATGGCGAAACCTAAACGATGTCGTTCCGGGCGTTCAGGGATAATCTACCGGACTCCTCTCTGCTCGGACTGTGCTTGATAGCTTGGGAGTGGGTTTTGTTTACTTTTGTTTTGGGCTAAAACTGAGCTGGGATTTTAGGCTGGCAAATCGGGCTTAGCTGATTGAGGGCCCACAAAGGGGAAGAATAATGATGATGATGATGATGATGATGATGATGTAATTCTAATATTTCAAGATCAAGGAATAAGAACTTAATCAAACAAAATTATAATATTACACATAAGACCACTATATGTGTGATTATAAAGTAGTACTATCTTGATATTTATTCCGATAAAAATATATACGTGTATTTACTTAATTCTATATTTATATATAAAATTTAAAACAACACGTTTGTTATTTTAAATTATTCATATGAATAAAAAATAAAAATAGAATAAGTAAAAATACGGAGATAACAATAATTATCAAATATATTTTGTTTCCCGATCTTAAATTTTTTTTTTTTTTTTGAAAAAAAGATGCCAATAAGATCGTATAATACAATAAATAAATTAATGCAAAGAAAATGAAAATACTAAATTAAACGAGACAATGATTTCAACAAAACAATAAAGTATAAATGAGTTAAAAAAAAGACAATAGTTTTTAAAAACTACTTACAGGAGAGACATATTGCAATTTTATTTTTACTACAAAAGAGAGATTTACACAGGTTTATATATGTATACATGTATATTTGTATAGATATATATATTAATTAAAGTCATATAAAAAAAAATTAAAGTCTCGTGCTTTTCATGCTCTTCCCCACCATTGACTTGACTCCTTTTTTTTTTTTTTAATTTTTTAATTAGATCACTAATTATTAAGAGATTAGTACCTCATACTTTTGTACAATAACTTATAGCATTATAAAATTATCTTGAAAAGTAATTTATTTCACAAAATAGGTTTGGGAAAGTATATATTTATTTATTAATTATTGATTTTTATTCGCATGAAATAAATAGGAGTAAACAAATAATTTGCTACTATATCTATGTTTCGTGGAAGTATGCATAAAATTTTTATCTATAATTGTTACCAAACTATTTTTTTCTTTATTATGAAATATAATTTTTTTTTAAAAAAATGAGGTCATTGAATATAATTCTTTACCAAATAAGGTACAAAATGTTAAGTTGATTATAAATTTAAAAAATAAAAATATATATACACAAATATATATATATATATATATATATAATTAAAGTCCAATTAAGGAACATCAAAGTCTATTGCTTTCCATCGACTTGACTCCTCATTAGCAACTTTGAATTGTAGTAGGTTATAACTTTTTTTTAAATATTTTAAATATTTAGTCTATTAGTTTAGTTGTAGAAAAATTTGTCCAAATTAATATGTTTAAATCTATTCTAATTTTTTTTTTCTATATTTATTTAAAGTAAAAAATACGTCAAAAATCTGAATTAATTATATGTAATTTTAATTGTAATTTTTACTAGTTTTTTTTTTTTTTATTAATACTAAATTAGTAATTGAATCAGCCTGAATGGATGATTGTGATTCTTTGTTGTTGATCTAACGGTCATAATTAGAGGAGCATGCATTGCATATACGTTAATACTGGAGGTAGATCAGCACTGCGTCTTCCATTTTGATTTGTTACAGAAGGAAAAAACGAAATGAGGTCGTGGTTGACGGTAGCAAACTGGGTGGTGATGCTACTGCTGATTCAACTCCATGGAGGCCTGTGTTGTTGGGAAGAAGAGAGATTAGGCCTTTTAGATATCAAGGCCTTCGTCAAATCAAATGGTGTAGATGCCATTGATCTTCTTCCTTCATGGCTTGATGACGATCACAGTGACTGCTGCAACTGGGAGCGAGTCACCTGCAACTCAACCACAGACCGAGTCACTCAACTATGGCTTGACAATCTCAACGAGGAATACGTATACAGCGACATTTGGTTTCTAAATTTTTCCATCTTCTTGCCCTTTAAACACCTCATGAGTCTGAATTTGTCCCATAACAATTTGTTCGGTTCGATCGAGGGTGAAGGTATGCATGTATTCACTTCCTTGAAGTAAGTATGCATTTTATCTGATATCTCCTGTTAAATTATAATACAAACTATATGTATATATATATATATATATTATAACAATTTAAGAATTACTATCAACAAAAAAAGTGATCTAATGGTTAAAATTTGTATATTTTAAAATTGATTGTGATCGATATATAATGTTTGATTTAATGAAACCTATAATCCCAACTTAATTTGAGTTAAGATTGGTATTACCCAATCTATTATGTTTTTGTACGAAAAAATATTTCAAAAGTTCTTTTAATTGAAAGAATCAAAACGCGCTAAGCATATGTTTGTTTTTTTTTTTGTTTTCTATTTGATAAGATATATTATAACTGTAATTATAATTAAATATATTTGTTCTATTTTATTTTTGAATTTATGAAATAAATTATATGTAGAAAATTTCACCACAACTTAAATTATATATTTATTAGAATTTATTTCATAATTTAAGCTACGTTTGAAAGGTTTCTTAATGGATAATGACATGTCCTGACATCTTTGATGATATTTTAATGGTAAGAATTTTGAGAAGGACGTTCTGATTTTCTGAGCAGAGTTGTCGGCATTGGAGAATTTGGAGGAGTTGGATCTAAGTCGGAATCATTTCAATGGTTCTCTTCTGCCACAAGGTAATACACAGACAGTGAGAGTTGTCAACAGTCACTCTGACATCTGCACATACTCAATCTGTATACATATATATATATATATATCTTCTACGACATCTCAACATGGTTTCGAAATATTCACAGATCCCTTGAGCTTTTCCAGATTTAGGAAACTAAAGCAGCTGGATCTGAGTCATAACCATTTTGGAAAAGAAATCTTCAGATACCTGAATCATCTGCTCTTACATCTCTATCCTTGAAGTTTAATTTCATGGGAGGACAACTTTCTAGCCATGGTAGGTATATCAATACATTTCTGTTGTTTACCTTTATTTCTTGTCTAGTTGTTGAGGGAGTAGTTTAAAAAAGTGATGATTAATTTCTGTTGAGTTTACTAGCAGACAATATGTTGCCAACTCCATTAAAACACAAGAAAGCAAGATTGCCGGATGGTTAATGGCTCTAAGAAAAGGTGTTTGGCAGTTTATTTCAATGAGGGTGATACCAAAGTTAATTATAGGTTAGAGTACTCTATGAGACAATCAAAAAAAATTTTATATATCCTTATTCTACATGGTTGTATATTTATATTTTTTTAACTTCAAACATTTTCCGAGCTTCATTTAAACTACGAAGCAATCATTTTATTACCGTTGGCTGTTTTCGAATTTATAATAAACTAAGAAGCAACCATTTTCTTTCTGCATTCTACATTGTCCGTAAATATATATATGTCTTTTCCTCTCGATTCCTGATGATATATCTTTTATATCCTACGAAAAACATTGTTCTCTGATGCAGAATTCAAAAACCTCAGCAATTTGGAGATGCTTTATTTGAATGGAAATGGCTTTAATGGACCCCTGCCAATTCTAGGCGAGTGAGATATTTTTTCTTCCTAAACTTTCTTGAAAAATTTTGTGTATTTATTGACAACATGTTTTCCTTTTGGTAGATATGATAACCTACAAAAACTTGAAGGTGTTAGATTTCGACGACAATCATTTCAGTGGGAACATTCCTCCAGAAATTGGAGAACTATCTTCTCTTAAGGTTTTTTCTGTGTATAGTAACGAACTTAACGACTCTCTACCTATCCCGGGTAAGTATCAATTAGCATTATTTCGGTGGGAACAATTATGTTACTAACGCAGTAACATGTAGTTAGAGAAAGTTGCTAATAAGGTTTTTAGAAGATGTGATTAAATTGAGTTCTCTCTGCAGGTTTATGTTCACTGAAGCATCTTGAAGAATTAGATCTTAGCTGGAATATATTTCAGGGGAGCCTTCCAACATGCCTGAATAATTTAACATCCCTTAAGCTTTTAGATCTAACTCAAAACCAATTTACAGGAAGCATTCCTTCTTCTTTAATAGCGGGTCTCGCATCCCTTGAGTACATAGATCTAAGTCATAACCATTTTGAGGGCTTGTTTTCATTCAGCTCATTCGCTAATCACTCAAACCTTGAGGTGGTTCAATTGGTAAGTGATAATAGCAAATTCGAGGTTGGAACCGAAGATCCAGATTGGGTTCCTTCATTTCAGTTAAGGGTCCTTGTGCTGTCTAATTGCAACCTGAATAAGCTCACTGGTCAGGTACCTACATTCCTCTTCAACCAGTTCAACTTGCTCATGGTTGACCTATCTCACAATAATTTGACAGGAAGCTTCCCTAGTTGGTTTCTCCAGAATAATATTGGACTACAACGTTTATATCTAAGAAATAATTCTTTCACCGATCAACTTCAGCTATGGCATGTTCATTCTATAATTTACTTGGATATCTCAAGCAATGACTTGAATGGACGACTTCAAGAAAATATTGGGAAGCTTGTTCCACACTTATTATATCTTAATCTGTCAAATAATGCTTTTGAAGGCAGTCTTCCATCTTCAGTTGGTGACTTGAATGAATTGGAAGGATTAGATTTGTCCAATAATAATTTTACAGGAGAAGTCCCCAAGGAATTGATCATAAATTGCACAAGGATCTGTGTTCTAAACTTAAGTAACAATAAGTTCTATGGTGAAATATTTTCTTCTCACTTTAACTTGACTTCGATTACGTCTTTACATTTGAACAACAATTTCTTCAATGGAACTTTGTCAAATGCAGTATTACAATGTCCAAGTTTGAAGGTATTCGATGTTGGCAAGAATTGCATGTCAGGTAAAATTTCGAGATGGTTGGATAATATAACAAACTTGGATATCCTTTTACTAAATGATAATTTTTTTGAAGGTGAAATTCCATGCAAACTGGGTAGAAATAAATTCAGAGGTACACTTGGGTTGGTAGACCTATCTCACAACTCTCTTTCAGGGTCTTTACCTTCATGTTTAAGATTAGAAATGGTACAACGTATAAATTTACAAGGAAACAATCTCAGTGGACAATTACCCAAAGGTCTTCTTAACTCTTCCACACTGTTGATGCTGAACATTAGAGATAATGGCTTTGTCGGCAGCATTCCTGACATAATTACAGTTCCGAACTTGCGGGTTATGCTGTTAGGAGGAAATTACTTGAGTGGTACAATTCCTAAAGCTTTATGTCAATTAAGAAAGATAAGCTTCATAGATCTATCCCGCAACTTTTTAAGTGGGTCAATTCTTCATTGCTTCAACAATATCGCATTCGGAAATCTAGTGACTGATGATCGTATCTTTAAACTTCAAGGTATTATAGGCGATTTTTGGCATTTTTCATATTACAAATTCAAAAGCCTATCGTATGATGTGCTTCGCCATCAAGTTGTTAGCCCGTATACTTCATATTATTTACAAGATGAAGTTGAGTTTATTACGAAAAATAGGTCCAATTCCTACGAGGGAGACATCCTCAATTACATGTCAGCATTGGATTTGTCTTACAACAACTTAACAGGTGACATCCCTGAGGAACTAGGATTGCTGTCTCAGATTCATGCACTGAATTTGTCTCACAATCAACTCACTGGTTCTATTCCTACAACATTCTCAAACCTTAATAAGATAGAGAGCTTGGATCTTTCCCACAATAACTTGATTGGAGAAATCCCTTCAGAGTTGAACAAACTTCACTTTTTGGGAGCATTTACTGTCGCGTATAACAATTTGTCGGGAAAAATTCCTAATGGTCCAGGACAATTAGGGACATTTGAAAAAAGAAGCTTCGAAGGAAATAAATTTTTATGTGGATTTCCATTGGAGAAGAAGTGTGGAAGTAAAAATCATTGGAATCACGTAACCATATCTTCGTCGGATCAAAGCGGAGAAAAATGGCTAGAGAATGATTGGTTGGTCTTCTTTGCAAGCTTCTCAGTAGCTTTTATTATATTTTTCTCTGGAGTTATTTCTGTTCTTTATATTAATCCTTATTGGCAACATAGATTTTACGAGTGTATTTATTCATATTATTATTTTGTTTGTGATACTTTTTACAAGTTCTTTTGTGTACTTGTATGATAGCAGATTGCGAACACTAGCTACCGATGTTGATGGTTTAGTTTTTCCCATAACTCTTGATATCTTTGTTTCTGTTTTTTGAATTACTGTATTCGGAGAACAAAAATAAAATTATATTTTACAGTTCAAAACTTTCTTCAAATTCTCAATATCATTTCTAAATTTTATTGAACTTGTTTGTGTGCCAAAATTCTTCCATGCAATTTTTTATGGATGTTATATGTATTTACTGTTGCAAATATTAGGTGAATAAAATGTTTATTATATATATATATATATATATATATATATATATATACGGTGCAAATTGCCTCCTGCCTGCAGCAAGAAGTATAATTCACAAAAAGAAAAAGAAAAAACAAGAAAAAAGAAAAGGAATGATTGTCACTTTCCTTCCATGTTTTCTCCTTCTCTGCGATTTTCCCTCTATTACTTTCTCCTTCACTTTCCTGCTTGCCAAACAAGTATCAAGATTCCACATTGTATCAGATGATGATCAATATGTAACAGTAAATGGTATCCATTGCTGGATGTTACAAAAAAGAGACTGACTCGTGTGATTCCGATTTACAGCGGATGCGAAAATTGTGTTATCTTTTCTGAAATCTT